CTCTCCTTTTTCATTAGTCCTGAGCCCAGCTCAGAGAAAGGGCCATCCACATTCAGGCAGAGTCCTCCTGCCTCAGTTTATCCTCTCTCAAATCACTTTCACAGACACACCAAAAAGCATGTCTCCCAGGAGACTCTGACTCCGGTCCAGTTGACAGTGAGGATGAACCATGACAACTGCCGTTAGGTTTGAGCTCTTCTCATTAAAAAACAAAAACAAAACCAACCAGCCAAACAAAACAAAAACCCTCTTTCTGTTCCTATGAAACTAACACGGGTTGATGAAGCTGTAGAGTGGCCCTCTGATGAAGCTGTCCCCTCTGTCCCCTCTTTGACCCTGCCTTTCTCTGGCACCTCTCCTCTTCCCAGAGTGTCTTGTCCTTAGCTTTCTCGGGATGAAGGGCTGGGAGGATGAGGAAGTCCGGGACTCTCTGCTGCAGTAACCCGGGACACTTGCCCAGAATGACACCCCCCCCCATGCATTTGCATTCACACTGCCTGTTATTAGAATAAAATCCAGACACTGAGACACCAGCAAGGGTCCCCAAACCTTTCCTTAAATGTTTAGAGTACCATGGTGGGCTGGTCAGCCCACTATGCACTCTGTCTATAGCAACCAGTCTTCTCCCACAGAGCAGCTAGCTTTGAACTAACCCTTTCCTACAACATAGTCAGAGTCTTAGAGTTCTGTCAACTAGTTTTGCATTCATTGTTTTTTTTTTTTGTATTTACATTAGTGAAGTTCATCCCTATGTGGCTACAAACTTTCACTTTCACTTTTATGTCTCCCATTGTGTGTCTGAGAAGTTTACTATGGCCCCCTTTCTCCTCCTCTGCAGCGTAAATCTGTGCAGTTGCTGCCACTACACGTAAGACTATATCTTTTGAGGGCTTAGGGTAAAAAGAGAGCTCACCTTCTTCAATTGATGGAGTACAGTTATGCTTATTTTTTGAGAACAAAGGTTCATGTATGAAATTCGTGCTTTGGACTTTAGAATTCCTATGCATTCTGGGATCTCTCATTTATTTTTAAACTAGGTGACTCATTGGCAGATACGCTGAGGAATCCACTGAATGCCCCCCTTTTCTTCCAGGGGTAGCCAACTATAGTTAGGCATATAGCCTCACGAGAAAGCACTGCAGTTCTCAGCCTTCTTTGGGACTGCCCATGGTTGTGTGCCCATGGAGGACAGGTTATGTGGAGAACATTTGCCACACATGCTCCTCCACACCTGCCCCACCCTCATATGCTAGAATACAAAGTGGTTGCAGCCCAGGCTAGCCCACACTATGAAGACCATAAATATGAAGAGGACAAGGGGAAACTAGGCAAAAGGAACAGTCTGAGTGACAACCAGTGTGCCTAACCGTTTGGTAATTAATGCCTGCTTCCCCAAAGTGCTTTAGTGCTGGCTCTCTTCGCTATTATCAGTCCTATGCGTCACCTAGATGATGGCTCCCATCTCACTCTGCCTCCCTGGTTTCCCATGCGTACTATAGGCTTCGGAACAGCCCTCAGAAGAGCAGGTGCGCACATGCAGCTGTAGGGATGGTGTTGCACTCATTGTCCACGCCGTTCTCCCCATCAGCCCTGCAGGACTGGCTCATGACCCAGTAGAAATTTATATGGAGTAAACGGGCACAGCTTAGGCCACATGGCAGACTTTTCCTTTTGAAGTCCATTAACGCTTTGAAATCATTGACCACGTGAGGGCGAGATTCCTTTGGATGCGCCTGTCTGTGGCTAGGGCTTCCAGGTTGCTTCCAAGTGTCCCTGGCCACCAGGACGGACTGCGTAGTCTAGAGGAAAGGAACTTTTCAACCCCACTCTAAGCCCCGATGAGAGGAGAGTTGCTCACAGATGGCTGGTGGTGTCATTGGTCATGGCCGTGTACGGAAGCCTCCGTAGAAACCCAGAGGATGGGTGCAGACGGGCTTCTGGGAGCTGCCTGACGAAGTTTTGCGACAGGGTTATACCTTGGAGAGGGCGAAAAGGCACAGTGCTCCTCCCTCCAGGCCTCATCCTCCTCATTTCTCCCACCTACCTGCCCATCTGCACCCTTTGCAGTTTCCTCTGTAATATAAAGATAAGCGGGAGCGCAAAATGGTTCCCTGGGTTCTGTGAGCAGCTGCAAGAAATTAATCACGCCGCGAAGGGCATTGTGGGAACTCTGGTTTATGGGCCATTATGCACTTCAGCTACTTTTTGTGCAGTTACCTGAAATGTGTGGGAGGGGGTTGTCTAGTCTTAGGAACTCAGCCCCCAACTTGTGGAATCTGATGTCACCTCCAGGTAGACAGTACCAAACTGAATCCAGCCAGATGCTCCTCTAATTGGAGAGCCGTTCTGTTTTATTTCAGTTCAGGAAAATTCAGCAGCCTGTCTCTCTAACCATTTTCTACCCTAGCCCACAAACAGGACAAGCTGGTAGGAAGCGGGTGCCCAGTCCATCTGAAACAATTATGGCCTCCAAATCCCCGTGCCTGCCATGGACCAGGCCCTTCCTTCAGCTCTAGTCTATAAATAATGTAATTTCTATTTGTTCGTTTATTTTGATGGGGCTGGGGGGCAGAAGCTAGAACCTCAAGATTGCTAGAGAATCATGCTCTACCAGCTACACCTCACCCTTTTCTTGCTAGTCACCAAGGCTTTGTGCCTGGGAAGATTCCCTTTATTTCCCAGATAAGACTCATGGGGTCTGGGTGCTCTCCTACTTACTCAGAATGATGCAGGGAGTAAGCAGCCCCAGGATCCAGACTGTCGCCGTCCGGAGTCCTTCCTCCACATTGCTAAAGTTTCTGTAGGGTTCAGGCCTGAGTGCAGGGTGTCAAGCCCCTTTCTAACTACAGAGGGTGGGGATGGCGGTGCCCACTGCCTGAGCTGGGGAGAGCTGAGCAACTGTACTTAGTCCTAAACTATACGCAGTCCTGACCTCAGTCCCAAAAGGCTGTTCTGTGAGTTGTGCAGGGGAAAAATACACAAAGTGTTGGCAAATAGGAGACACTGACCTGGATTTCCATTGCTCGTTTTAATGCTCACAACGTTCTTAGGACTTCGCTGTGTTTTTTTTTTTTTTAATATTTCTTTATTTTTATTGATGTGTGTGAGTTTCCTGCCTTCACGTATATGTATGTACACAATGTGTGTACCTGATGCCTGCAGAGGCCCGATGGAGGCGCCGGAGCCCCTGGAACTGGAGTTAAGGACCCCTGTAAGTCACCATGTGGATGCTGGGAACCGAAGCTGGGTCCCCTGCAAGAGCAGTAAGTACTCTTACTAGCCGAGCCCTTGCTCCAGCCCTAGAACCTTCGCTTGTATTTTACTCCAGCTGTGGGGACCAAGAGTGAAGATGAAAACACGGGGGCTGATGAGACAGTTCCTGGGGTAAAGATGCTTGTCCCCAAGCCCGACAACTCCACTTCAGTTACCTGGACCCACATGGTAGAAGAAGATAACCGACTCCCACCAACTGTCCTCTAACTTCCACACCCATGCTGCTCCCCCTTCTCTACCACATACACACAAATAAATGCAAAAACTGAAAAGGGTGATAGTTTTTGGGGATTCATTATAATTAGAACAATATCCTTGGGTTCTACATGCATGGAGTCAACCACCTAGGGATGAAAAATACTTGAAAAAAAAATCCTTTGTACTAGATATGTACTGATTTCCCCCTCTCATTCCTTAAAAAAAGTGTAGTATGTTGTGTACCTGTACGGTATGTGCATCATTTGGTTTTAAGTCATCTACAAATGCTTCAAAGTATCCAGGAGTGTGTGCGTTGGTTCTTTGAATTATCATAGCACTTCAAGAGATATCTAAATGTAGGTATCTATAGGGAATTGGTTCCTGGACTCTTTGAGGATATGACTTTGTGTCTTATGTCTGAGGCTCTTCCATGTGGCCCAGGCATCGTCACAGGATGGGAATCAGTTATTCCTGTGGCTGAGAGATTTTTTTCTCTTTCCCAGGCCTTGAGAGAAAAAAAAAATCATGGATGTAGTTGCTCTGATGTCACAGATCCCAGAAATCCCAGGACCTGGCTAAACCGGGGGCCAAAGAGAATAAGAAACAGATGAATGATTCCAAAGCGAAGCAGCATGTGCTCTGTGAGCCTTAGGGAAGGACACTGGGACTCTGCATTTACTCTCAATCTCAGGAAATGGAAGTTCCTTAAAGTGGGAGTAACTCCGAGCCTAAAATGGAGGTGGTCAACTGCGGTCAGAGTTAAGACAAGCTGCTCTTTCACTCCCCAGAAGCATGATGAAAAAAAAAAAAAAAACAGCCACAGTCTCTGCACTGAGCCACCTGTGGCTCCAACAGTCTCTAGCTGTCAACTCAGCGTCCCATCTACTTCAGTTTTGCCAGCCTTGCTGGTTACTCACAGGCTGTCCACCTTGGGGAGGTCATTGTGTCTTTGGAATGGCTACAGTTATAACGTGTTTTCTCCAAGTTCTGATGTTGCAACTTCATACCAGTGTGACAGTGTTAAGAGATGGGGCCATGGGGAGGCAATTTGGTGGTCCTGAGGGCTCCACTCTCCTGAATAGGATTAGCATCTTTATTCTATTTTTTTTTTTAATGTGGAGAACACAGATGATGTCAACCTCTGGCCTTCCTATGCACACTCACACACACATATGCATACACAAGTGAACACACATGATCATGCACACATACATATACACCGCAAGCATGCATGCACGCACACACAAGGCCCCTCCCCTTCTGCTTCCACCATATGGCAACATAGCAACAAAGGCACCTTCTGTGATTTAACAGAGTGGTCCTTTCCAGACACTAAATCTGCTGGTTTCTTGATCTTAGACATGCCAGCTTCTGGAACCATAACACCTGTATTTGCATAGTTTGTATTTGCAAAGGTGTAGCCTGAACAGCCTGATAAATAGGTATTGGGCACAGGATTCCAGGCTTATAATAGTAGCTTTGATACCACAAAAAGTATTTTGGCAAAAAACATGATTTTATACACTGAAAGAGCCATAATACTTTATTTAAAATATATACAAAATTATTACTTTGAAACATATATATTACTATCCAACATATATCATATAACACACATTGATGTAAATTTTGGTACCTTCATTCAGTTTTGTGATTTCTCTTTGCTCAAGGTTCCTGAATAAAAATTCTCTAAAATACCACTGGAGGGGAGGTGCCCATAGGCTTGCCCCCCACAGTAGTCTGGCAATTCTCTTGGGCACCCTTGGGCCCTGTGAACTTGACCCATGGAAGCTGAGGCCAACCCTAGCCTTGTTGGGGCACTGGGGGAGGCACAGGGTTGGTGGCACCAGCCTTTAATAAACTACACACCAGCCCCATCTTTTCTCTCTCTTTCCCTCCTGGTTGGTGAAAACTGGTCAATCACTGTCTTGACAGACCCTCCCCTGGGCTGAGGTTAACGTAAGTTAGGTTCTTTTGCACACTCCACCTTCCTTCACTGCCTCCATCACCACTACCACAGGAAGAGGGTAGGAGAGTAGGGAGCTGGCCTCTGAGTACAACTTGGAAAGAAATAAAAATGAAGCCAACCGGAACTTCTGTGCTCTTGGGCTGAGATCTCACACCCCTGACAGAAATCAGACAACTGGTTTTGGGTGCATTCCAGCCTTTTTTTTTTTTGTCACTGTCACTTGCACAGTGCATTTCATCCAATAGGCACTTACTTAATAGATGCCCATCATATGGATGAATAAATAAATGCAAGGGATCTGGTGATTTCAGGCAGAAAAACTTCCAGTTTAGAATCAAGGGGACTTACCTCTTCTCAGCTTTTTGGCTACAATCAAGTGTAGACTCAAGGAGACTGAAGTCATGGAGATTTGTTTCCTCCTTTGACAAATGGGTAAACTGAGGCTGACAGATGATAAAATGAACAAGATTACTGACTGGTCCCTGATAGAGTCAGACCTGGAATCCTGTTTTCTTCATTTCTCCCTCTCTTCAGGTCTGACTGTGTAAAGAGAGCTCAATGGACCCACTGCTGTGTCCTGAACGGTCAGAACTCACCTTCCTACACCAGAAGCTCTTGGTCAATATGGGCGGCCAACGAGCATAGTGGCCAAGCATAGGCTACAAGCAAAATGTCTCCTCGAAGGAGCTTCACCCCCAGAATCGGGTCCTGGGCACGAGGATTTGTCGGCAGCAGTGGGCATGAGTGAGGTAGGAGGAACAGAGATGGATGGGTATAAGCCCAGCTTTGGGGAAGGGAGTGTCTGTTCTGTTCCTGTAGCAGTTCTAGTACTGATGTGGATTTGGTGCCTCACAAGGCTCTGGGTTGTCCAGAGGAGATGTGTAAACAAAGCTAAGTCACTGGTTGCTCCTGCTTCTGAGAGCATGTCACTACAAATACTTGCCCAGTGGACGAGTAACACTATGTTCTTAGCACACCGGAAAGGATGAAAACAAGGTGGCCAACACAGGGACAGAGGGATAGAGACTGTCAGGCTAGCCGGATGTGTGAGGGGTGGGCACACGCCCAAGGATCCAGGTGGACTTCTCATTTCAGTTAAGCTGTCACAAGGTACATTTTGAGCTTTGGGCCACTGTCACCCCGCCCCCCCCCCACACACACACATCCACCTCCTGTCATACTGTGGATCTCAAGAACATCCCAATGTGAGCTCCACTCCTTTCCAGAAAGGATAATTTTTCATGATCGGAAACACACAGTTGAACATTTATGGAGACCTCTGCACCATACCCAGGCCCTGCAGATACGCTGGCATCCGACCCAACAAGGGCACCACAATCTGCCACCAGGGGCCTCCTCTCTTGAGCATGTAGCATGGGGGCTGGGATGAACGTGATGTGCTCTTTTTGATAGATCCTCCTCTTGCCCCGCCCTCAGCCCGCTTCACTTTCTGCTTCCCCTCATCCTCTCTCATTTTCTGGCCAGCTCCTGCAAGCCCCAACTCCCATTAGAACTATATATGGTTTTGTTTTTTGTTTTTTTTTCTGAGAGAGAAAAATAATCATTATTCGTCTTACGGAAATCGGAAAGTTGAAAGCCACACATCACCTGGAAATAAATGAGTACCTTTGTGCTTGTGTCGTCACTACAAGACGCAGACAACTAAAAGCCAGGGAGCAGGGTCTGAGCAGGGACCCTTTGGAGTGGTCTGTTGGCCTGCTCTGACCCGCTCCCTAGACAGCGGATTGGTTTTCATTGCACACGTAGACCGTGCTCGGCTGGATTTTCCTCTGGATCCGCTCAGGCACTTTTGGGAGGATTTGGAAAGTTTGGGGAAGCAACTCTATGCAGGCCTCGCGGAATTTCTTGATCCTCCAGCAGTAGACGATGGGGTTGAAGACGGACTTGAGGTAACTGAGCCACAGGACGCACGTGCTGGTGGTGTAGAAGGAGGCGCTGTAGTAGAACCGCCGACTGAACGCAGACAGCAGGCTGTAGACTGAGTGGGGCAGCCAGCAGAGCGAAAAGCCCACGAAGAGGATGAGGATGGTGGTGAAGGCCTTGGTTTTGAAGCTCAGGTCCAGGCTGACCTGCTGCTGCTGCCGCCGGAGCCGTCTCAGGCCAGCCCTGGTCAGCTGTCTGAGGTCCAGGCTGTCTGACTGGTTGTGCACGCGGACGGCGTTCTTCCGCACCGTGTTGAGGATGCACAGATAGGAGCACAGCATGACGCCGAAGGGCGCGAAGAACACTGCCACCACCAGCATCACCACGTAGGCGCGTTCGGCTGGGAACTCAGTGTAGCCCAGAACGCACTGTGGGGCCCGAGCCGGCACCTCCATGAACGTCCAGCCGGTGAAGGAGGGCGCAGAGATGCAGAAAGACAGCACCCAGGAGGCTGCGATGATCACCTTGGCCCTGCGTGGGTTCAGCTTGTCCTGACGCTGCACGATGATGAGAAAGCGGTCCACGCTAATGATGAGCAGGATGGCCACGCCCTCTAGGACAAAAAACCAATAGAGTGTAGCTGAGAGCCGGCAAAAGTGGTCCCCGAAGTGCCAGCGGACAGTGATGAGGGTGATGGCCGTGAAAGGCATGCAGCATAAGGACAGCATGATGTCAGAGAAGGCCAAGGTGGCCAGCAGCAGGTTGATGGCTGAACGCATGGCCGGCCTCTGATACACGATGATGCAGACCACCGTGTTCCCGAGGAACCCTACCACGATCATCAGCAGCATCGTTATTGCCAGCGAGATCCTGAGTGGTGCGGACAGTGGGGTGGCCCCGGGGTCCAAAGCATTGCTCACATTCTGCAGCAGATGTTCGTAAGTCCCGATGGATGTGCTGTTACAGACCATCGTGGAGAGAAACTCGGAACCTGGACAGAAGTGGCTGCAAGGGCACCCTCCAGCGCTTGGGTGGCTTTCATTTTCTGTCTGCTGGCTGCATCTTTTCATTTGATGTTGAAGGATCTCTAAGGCCCTTGAATCATGGGGAGAAATCTTTCTTTGGAGTGGCTAGCTGGGTTTTGCGATTCATCACTCACATTCTTGTCCTGTCTCTCTGGCAGTCATGCATTCGCACAGCTCCCTCGTAAGACACTACAGTCTAGAGCAAGAAGGGAGAGAAGAGTCAGATATTGGAATCCTGGTGGAATGGAGCATGGTCTAAATTTTACAGGTACCGGTGATCTGACATGTGAGGGTTTTGCATCTCTGCATTCAGCCAACCAACCCAGGAAATAGTCAGAAGTCCCCAGCAGGGTATGAACTGAACAAATACAGACTCCTCCTTGCCACTGTTCTAGACAACACAACTATTTGCATACCTCTTTCATCACAGTGTGTCACACATGATCTGAAGATGAGTTTTGGCGTTATATGCAAACACCTCACCATCTTCTTAGAGATGTTAGTCCATAAGGGAGTATTGGGATTGATTCCTGTGAATTCCCAGGGACAGGAGAGCAGAGAGAAGAATGACTCATTTATTTCTGATTTAGGACAGAAGTTGGTATTTACAAAGAGTGAGTCTTGTCAAGCAGTTCAGGAAACCCAAGAAGCTAGCTATCCTCTGGGCACTTGGAAGCTCTGCCTTTTGGGTACTTTGGAATTACCACTTATGTAGTTTGGAATGGATTTTTAGGAAAATCAGTGGAATACGGCCTTGAGCAAACAAACCACCTGCTTTGGAATGCCGGATTCAAGCCCGCAGGGCTCTCGCTTGCTTTAATATGTGTGTCCTCAGCACCTAGGACAGCGCCCGGCTGACAGGCAGTTGGTACTCTCCTGGCTCCTTGATGAAAAAATGATTAGTTTTGAGATCTCGCCAGAGCTTGGGGAAGGAAGTCTCTCTGTCGGGACTCGGAGGGAAGTGCTGGCGCCAGGTTAGACGCCGCCGCGCCGTCAACACGGCAAGGGAGGCCCCAACAAGCCACAGGGGCAAGATGTCCTCATAAGCCTTCTTCGTGCAGATGTGCCGGGAGGATCACAAGAAGAAGCACCCGGATTCCTCGGTCAACTTCGCCGAGTTCTCCAAGAAGTGCTCTGAGAGATGGAAGACCATGTCTGCAAAGGAAAAGTCAAGTTTCGAAGATTTGGCCAAGAGCAACAAAGCTCATTATGACAGGGAGATGAAGAATTATGTTCCTCCCAAAGGTGATAACAAAGGAAAGAAAAAGGCTCCTAATGCTCCAAAAAGACCACCGTCTGCCTTCTTCCTGTTTTGCTCTGAACATAGCCCAAAGATCAAAAGTGAACACCCAGGCCTGTCTATTGGAGATACTGCAAAAAAATTGGGTGAGATGTGGTCCGAACAGTCTGCCAAAGATAAACAACCCTATGAGCAGAAAGCAGCTAAACTAAAGGAGAAGTATGAAAAGGATATTGCTGCATACCGTGCCAAGGGTGAAAGGGAAGCAGGAAAGAAGGGTCCTGGTAGGCCAACAGGCTCAAAGAAGAAGAATGAACCAGAAGATGAGGAAGAGGAGGAGGAGGAGGAAGACGAAGATGATGATGATGAGGAGGAGGAGGATGAAGAGTAAATGGCTGTCCTAAAATGTGTGGCATGTATGTGCTCAGGCAATTATTTTGCTAAGAATGTGAAATTCAAGTGCAGCTCAACATTACCTTCAGCATAAAAACTGTACAGATTTTAAAAAAAGAAGTTTGTAGCTTTTTCAGGGGCTACAACGTACAGTTAGATTTAAAGCTTTTGATGTTGAATGTTCCTAAATATTTAATGGTTTCTTTAATTTTTATGGTAGCAGAGCAAACTTAATAGGAATTTGTATTACCAGTAAATTTTGGTCTTTTTTTTAGGATGATGCATTTTTTTAAAAAAATTGTAATAAAATAATGTATATTTTAAAAATGATTAGTTTTTATACCATCACTCTAATACTTTTTTATTTCATCCTTTTAAAAAGGAGATTACAGCCGGGCGGTGGTGGCGCACGCCTTTAATCCCAGCACTCGGGAGGCAGAGCCAGGCGGATCTCTGTGAGTTCGAGGCCAGCCTGGTCTCCAAAGCGAGTCCCAGGAAAGGCGCAAAGCTACACAGAGAAACCCTGTCTCGAAAAACCAAAAAAAAAAAAAAAAAAAAAGGAGATTACAGACTATCCTTTATTAAGATATTTTATCTGCAGAGTTAAAAGTGGAGAATTTAAAAAGTAAAATTTATTAAAACATCACAAAGCAAAATTAACCAGACCCAAACTCTCTAACCTAAGTCTTAGCTTAAAAAACAACAACACCTTTTTGAGGTGTGAATGGAATGTGAACAGGTGTATGTGTTTACATCTCAATAGTGCCAGGGACAAGTGTGTACCTGGAAACCATCACAACCATCAAGGCCATAAACACATCCATGGTTCTGAAAGTTGGCCTTCTACTCTCTTTACTGAGATCTACCTTTGGAGAAAAAAAAATTTAAATGTGTTTTCCTAAAAATATTTAGTGTATTTGAGACAGGTATAAACTCCCACTCACATGGAGTCATAAGGAAGTAGTGACCTTCTGTATATCCTTTGCCTTGTTTCTCTGGCAGAAGCATCAGATGAGTGTAAAGCTGCTATATGATTCTTCTTGGAAACACTGAGAAGGAGAGAGGACCAGTTCTTAAAAACAGCGTTAATCTTTATTGCTTTTCTCAGAGATGTGGCAGGTATGGTGTCCAGGAGCCGAGGTCCACAGTTATGTCTTTGCTAGGTGAAACAGATCCTCCCCTGAGTATCCATTCCCTGGGTATCCTCACTCACTAATACCTTCCTTTGGAGTCTCTCATCTAGAATGCATCAGGCCCAGGTACGGAGTAGCTGTGCATATCGCAGATTCATGTCACCACATCTGGATGGCAGAAGGCTCTCTGGAGGTGGCACTGTTATCATTTGAGCCCTGTGGCAAGCCAATCACATTGCTACAATGGCTGCTGTTTCGTGTACGCAGTAGAGTCATGTGCACACATTTGCACGTGGACTGGACCTGATAGCAGCATGTTTTGAAATCCCACCATGTCCACTGCAGCCGATTGCACCAGCATGGTGGCCTCAGGAAGTCTACTCTAGAGTCTGACTGTGATGAGGCAGACTCCAGGTACTCAGCTGGAAACAGAAACTAGGAGTTTGCAGCAGCTACGGCCGCTGAGGGATCACAGGGTTGTAGGTGGATGAGGCCATAAGATATGCTGGAGGCTCTCTTATCCCCTCCGGATTCCTGGCCCTCTCCATCCTGCCCTTACCTGGGAGGATGGACCCTAGTCCATGAAGATGGGTGAGAAATAAGGTCTATTTTGCCCCAGCTTCCTTCTGCCTGGTTGTGGGTGATCCTCCTGTAAAGCCCTAGCTTCTGGGGACAGATGTGCTCTACAACCTACAACCTGGCCTTCTTCTCAGGTTCTCCATGTGTTTCCTGTCTCCCTGCTGGCCTCCTTCACTTCCCTTATCCTATTTCACCTTAGCACCCTTCCTGTATCTATTTTCAGCACCATGCCAGAGGTCATACAAACAGAAGTTACTAGGAAGCAGAAAATAAAAGCAGATAGTATGGGCAAAGGCATGTGTGGTTTTTAAACAGTTACATTTCCACAAGTACTTTTGTAGTATTTACTTCTTCCCCTGTGTTTAATGGATGCTTTAGCCTTTTTTTTTCTTTATCTGATCTCTTACCTGCATCTTTGCTGATCCCCCTTAAACAGGCACTCCTAGAAGTGTCTGGCTTGAGTTATGCTGATGATGCTCACACAATGCTGTAGGAGAAACTCGAATCTTAGTTCCTGAATTACTTTAAATACTATTGTTTGCACCACAGCATGCCAAGATTGAGCTTATTTTATTACCTCACTGTGGTGGTTTGGATAAAAATGCTCCCCATAGACTCACAGGGAGTGGCACTATTAGGAGGTGTGGCCTTTTTGGAATAAGTTTGGCTTTGTTGGAGGAAGTGTATCACTAGGGGTGGGCTTTGATGTTTCACATGCTCAAGCCAGGCCCAGAAGCTCTCTCTCTTCATGTTGCCTGCAGTTCCAGATGTAGAACTCTCAGCTCCTTCTCCAGCACCATGTCTACCTGCATACTGCCATGTCCCACCATTATGATAATGGACTAAACCTCTGAATGGTAAGCCAGCTCCAACTAAATGCTTTCCATTGTAAGAGTTGTCTTGGTCATTGTGTCTCTTCACAGAAGTAAAATCCTAAATATGACACTACTGACTTCCTCTTAATGATTGATGAATAAGTGTTTTGAAGTCATCTGAGAAGCACCGAAACCATAACAATATTTAAATCTCTGCGTGACACTCCACTGAGAATGGACAGTATCCATTTTGTCTCTACCCTATAAGATGCAAGTTAAGTATCTCTTGTCTTTACTCACATTCTCTTATTCTTTTACATCTATTAGCTATCAGCTATATTTTTATTTTTGCCTAGTTAAGGTCACCTATTTATCACCTGTAACTCAATCTTCTGCGATTATTTTTATAAGTAGTCTTTAATAATTTAACCCCCAATAAAGCTAGTTACATTCTTATGACAGTGTAACATTTTTCAAATTTGGGTATTTTATCTGCTAGAAGCCTATTTTCCTGACTAGTTCAAGATTATGATCTACAGGGTCCAGATAAACAAGGAGTATATTCCTAATATAAAGGTCAAGTTAAGTATACATATTTGGTAACTTACCAAAACTTAGAAGCTAAAAGAACCTCATATTACAGTTTACTTCATATATGGTCCATGACGGTCATGTACAGATGTTTGTGTTTCCCTTGAGTTTCTCGTCACCTCTTTTTCACACTGTGATGTCATTCTTTGGTCTAATAGTTTTGATCAGGCTTGCTATCCCTCCTGAAGATTTGCCTCTGCTGCAGATCTGGGCTCTGTCTCCTGGGTCAGTAACATGGCTGCTCATGAGTCACTTGTTCTGAAATCCACTGCTGTCTCTTTTCTGGAAAATGACTGTAAATTGCTTGCTAAGAAAATGTTCCAACAGGAAAGCTTCAAGTTAAGAAAGCACTCCAAGCCTTTGCGTCTCTGGAAAAAAAAAAAAAAGGTATTTTTCTTCTACCTTCTCACAGACGGATGCTTTGTCTGACTATTGAGGCAGCGAGAATTTACTGCCCGAAATGGAAGGCTTTGCCTCTTCACCAATTGGTGTCACTGATGTCTTTAAAGTAGATTCCATTATTTTTCTTCATTGATGACAAGCTTTTTTTTCTCTTGAAGTTGTATTAATTTTTTCTTCTGGAAATGTTGGTGAAAGATGTACATTTGGGTCATTTTTTACTATGTGGGACACTCACTCACTGAGTCATTTAAACCCAAAGGTACATGCAGGTCAACTCCAGAAAAACCTTTTCCTCAGTAGGTTTGGTATTGCCTTCCCACTGATCCTGTGGTAGAACACAGACTGCTTTGAATGCTAGGCCCATTCTTCTGGCCTCAATTTTCTTTTCCATTAAAAAACCTTTCTCTTTTGTATCCTATACTCTGTGGTGATTTAAAAAAAAAACTTTTATGTTTAGTGTTTGTTTTCAGTCTCATGTAGCCCATGATGGCCTCAAAATCACTATGTAGCCTCAAATCCTGCACCTCCTACCTCTACCTCCCAAATTCTAGAATCATAGACAGGTGTATTGTGTCCATTTTATTTAGTTTTACTTAATTCTGTTGTTTGTTTGTTTGTTTGTTTGTTTGTTTCTGAGAAAGGATTTCTCTGTGTAACTGCTCTGGCTGTCCTGGAACTCGATTTGTAGACCAGACTGACCTCAAACTCACAGAGATCCACTTACCTCTGCCTCCCAAATCTTGAGATTAAATGGCACATACCTAGCTAGGTCAGCGTTTTATCACAGCAACAGAAAAGCACAGTAGAACAGCCAAGACATCTTCGGTTTACAATCTGTCTTGCCTGCAAAATATGCTAGGGCAGGGGCACTTGTGGGAGTAGCCAACCAATGTCTGACTTAACTTAAAGCCTACCCCATGAAAAAGAACCCACACCTGACACTGCTTGGGTAACCAAGAACCAGAGACTAGATAGCCCAGAGACCTAGGGTGAAACTAAACATGACTAATCTAATAAAAAAAAAAGAAATCAATAAAACGATTCCTAATAATATTCTGCTATACTCATAGATCAGTGCCTTATCCAGTCATCATCTGAGAGGCTTCCTCCAGGAGCAGATGGGAAGAGATGTAGAGACCCACAGCCAGACATGCAGAGAAAGTATCTAAATTGGATGTCTCCATCAAATTCCTCCCCTCAGAGCTCAAAGAACCCTGCTGAAGAGGAGGGGGAAAGATTGTATGAGCCAGACAGGAGTACATGGCCCTCTGAATCAACTAAGCAAGGTGCATGTGAGCTCACAGAGACTGAAGCAGCAATCACAGGGTCTACATGGGTCTACACCAGATCCTCTGTGTATATATTATAGCTATTAGCTTAGTATTGTTATGAGACTCTTGACTGCGAGGACAAGTGGATCTCACAGTCTTGTGCCTGTTCTTGGGACTCTTCCTCTTGTTGGGTTGCTGTGTCCAACTTCAATATGCAAATTTTTTGCTTCATCTTATTATGATTTATTTTATCATGTTTAGTTGTTATCTCTTAGAAGCCTGTTCTTTTCTAATGAGTGGCAGAAAGGGAGTGGATACAGAGTGGGGGCATGGGGAGAGGGGAGGAACTGGGAGGAGTAGAGGGAGGGGAAACCAATCAGGATATATTGTATGAGGAAATCTATATTTAAGAAAAGAAAACAATAAAATAGAGAAGGAAAAGAAGGAGGAGGAAGGAGGAGGAGGAGGAGGAGGAGGAGGAGGAGGAGGAGGAGGAGGAGGAGGAGGAAAAGAAGAAGTAATAGAAGAAGGAGAAGTAGTAGAAGAAGGAGAAGAAGAAGAAAAGTAGGAGCATGTCTAAGAGGGACTGCAAGCTCAGCCCTGGACTAATATGTCTCCTATTAACTGATGATGAGCTTAATCTCTTTAAGCCATGATTTTCTCATCTGTAGAATGGGGATAACCACTCTGCCACTGAAGAAGATTCTTATGAAATGGTCCTGAGGGAAGATGTAAGATTCTGGGCACAACAGGCATCTATACCTTCCAGCTGAGAAATAATGCTCGGTTCAAGGATGGGAACTTCGTTTGTTTTGGCCATAGGTCCTTATGGTGGAAGATGCTTTTGAATTATTAACAATATATCATTCAAGGTGTACTCTTGTGATGGTTGGTGTTAATTGTCAACTTGACAGGATCTAGAATTACCTTGGAGATAGGACTCCAGATATTGTTTTTTTTTTTAGGGATTATCTAGCTTAGAGTTTGCCTCTGAGAATGTCTGTGAGGGATCATCTTGATTGAGTTGATTGATGGGGGAAAACTGCATCTTGCTTATGGATTTAATGTGGCTGGTTGCTTTAAACTCCTGATGCCTTGACCTCCTTGCCATAATGAACTGGCTAAACCCTTAAACTGTGAGCCAAAATAAAAATAAATGCTTCTCACTTGACTTGCTTTTGTCATGGTATTTTATCACAGCAACAAGAAAAGAAACTAATATAACTTCATTTACAAATTCTGTAAAAGAATAATGGACTTTAAAAACTCAGGCATTTGATGAGTTAACAATTTTGACTAAATTTTAACTAGCTGCATGTTTTTTCCTCTGAGAAATATGTGTATAATATTTTCAATTGCTGGGCATGGTGGTACATGACTGTGGAGAAAAGGCAGATATACTGGATACACAGCTTAAACTCTCTCTCTCTCTCTCTCTCTCTCTCTCTCTCTCTCTCTCTCTCTCTCTCTCTGTCTCTCTCTCTCTCTCTGTCTCTCTCTCTCTCTCTCTCTCTCTCTCTCTCTCTCTCTCTCTCTCTCTCTCTCTCTCTCTCACACACACACACACACACACACATCTAATAGAATTTGCTTTCTCCTTACTGATCCAGTTTCAGCTAAGTGGCGGGAAACTTGACAGGCTCTGTCTCCACAGCATTTACTATTACTTCATGGAACCCATTGGTGTTTGGAATATTGGGTTTTTCAGTCTCTTCTCCAGAAGAACATATTGTTTCTCAAATGCCAAATCTGGAAATGGAGTCAGTTTTGGCAGATGGAAAAGCGGGAAACAGCCCTTTGCTGTGGAAACAGCTTGACTCTATCATTACCTGCAACCCTGTCACCTGCCTCTTCCACACAAACTCAAACAGATGGCATATTTCAATCTCAATAACTTTATCGGCAATTAAAAAAAATATGCAAGGGCTGCCAAAAGTAATACATCAAGTAGCAGTGTTTAGAAACAGGTGTTGGGCCATGTGTCTCGACTTCCAAGAAAGGTAAGCTAAAAGGAGCCTGGATTTTTTAGTCCTCAGCTCAGGCAAGGCTCTTGGGGTGGGATTTTTCAACTAGGGCAGAACTGGGGATGTTTTTAATGAAGTAAATCTTTATGGCTCGTTCTTCTTAGCAATGGTTGAATTTCCTCGTGTGCATTTCCTGTGATAAGTGAATCCCTTTACATAGTTGGGCAGTTCTGGAGCTTGGCCCTGGATTGACTGCATTAGCATCCCCAGCATTTGTTAGATCTTCAGCCCCCCCCCCCACTGTTGTGAAATATTAGTTTAAGACGTGTTACATTCATTTATGCTATGGAATATTTGTTTAATGGTGTAAAGATGTGTTGCATTCTTTCATGTTCATTTGTTTAACTCTGTGAAGCTGTGTTACTTTGTCTGTCTAAAACACCTCATTGATCTAATAAAGAGCTGAACAGCTAACAGTGCGGCAGGAGAAAGAAGTAGGTGGGGCTGGCATACAGAGAGTATAAACAGAAGTAGAGAAGAGGAAGGAGCAAGAAAAAGAGGAAAGGAGGATGCCAGGGGCCAGCCACCCAGCCACACAACCAGTCATGGAGGAAGAAGGAAAGAAAAATATATAAGATAGAGAAAGGTAAAAGCCCAGAGGCAAAAGGTAGATGGGATAATTAGTTAAGAAAAGCTGCCTAGAAACAAGCCAAGCTAAGGCTGAGCATTCATAAGTAAGAATAAGTCTCTGTGTCTTTATTTGGTAGCTATGTGGTGGGCCCCCAAAGAGTGAAAAAAAAAAAAACAACAACAAAGCCAACTACACTCTACTAGATCAGAAATGCTGCATGAGGCACCAGCTGACCTTTAATAAGGCCTCTAGGAGGTCAGGCTTTCTCAGTGAGAACTCTAAGGAAATGTTTGACATAATGTCTCTTGTTTGATGTTCATGCTAAGTCCTTTTTACTGGTAACATTTAGTACAGGGAACCCTTCTGTGTCAAGAGCTTCCAAATTTATTGATTCAACCAAGCACAGATTGAAGACATTTAAGGGAAAAAAATGTATCTATGCTAAGCATGGTCAGCCTTTTTCTCCCCTTGTCATGCTGTGGAATGATACACAGAGGTGGTGCTTATAATAGTATCGTAATGGTATCACGTCACCTGGAGATGATATATAGTTCATGGGATGATGCAATCACTTTGCCATTCTACATAAGAGACTGGGGCTTTTGCACAAGGAGAGGAGAGTCCTGAAACCATTCCCATGTGGATGCTGGTGGATGAGTGCTGTGGGATTCAGCATCAGGACCAA